CCTGGGGCTGGTGCTTGGACCACCAGCCCTCCCTCAGCCTCCCACCCCTGCCAGCCAACTTGGATGTTAGAAAAATTGCACTTTATCAGTGTTATAAAAATTGCCCTTGCAGACACTCGGGTAGAGGTGCTCACAAAACCCCATCTCATTCCCACTGCTCACACCCAAGTAAAACACCTCACTGACACTTCACAGGGGACCCCAGGCTGGTTTTGAAAGGTTCAGCTCACCTCAAACTTGCTCATGAATTCTGCAAAGATGCCAAAGAAAGCTTCAGAAGTTGTCATTTTCGAGTCTTCCCCAAAAAAGGACAACACCTTGCTGAACTCTTCCATGGCCTTGTGCTGCAGGTCGTCCAGAGACCGCATGGCAGGCTGGGCACTCTCCAGGAAGGACTGAGGGAATTGGCTTAAGGACAAACAGCCGCTCCGTGGGTCTGGTACGGATCAGAATCACTTATCAATCTCTTATCAGTGGCTGGGTTCCAGCTCAGGTGTCAGCACGGACCTGCTGCACACACACGTGTGGAGGTGCTGCAGCTCAGCTGTCCCTGACGGTGCTTCTCTGAGGGACAGACAACCCAGCACGTTCCCTGGCACCGTGGCACATTCCCTGGCACTGGGGCTGTGCCACAGAGGGGCAGCTGAGCCGGTGGGCACCACAGAACCTGTTTCCCTGCCGGCTGAGAATGAGGGAGTTTTCCACAAGTACTGAGGCGGTGCCAGACACAGCCCGGCTGCTTCCCAAGGAGCCACAAAGACAGCAGCATGGTTTCCCTGGAGGGCACTGAGCCACCCTGGTGACCTGCCCCTCTGACGGAAGGATACAGTCATGACAATGGCGAACCTGTCCTCCGCGGTGGCTGGCATGTTGTGACAGGCCAGCTGGATGTCACTGACCGTGGTGTGCAGGTCCTTCAGGTCGGCTGTCAGTGTCCTCTGGTTCACTGCAGGGGAAGACAGGAGTCAGCAGTGTTGGGGGCACGGGCTGGGTTGATTCCCATGGCAGAACACAGACAATGAGCGTGGGCTGTTGGTCAGGGGGTCGGGCTGTGTGTCTGCAGGGCTCTGCACAACCTGTCCGTGCTGTCCAGGCACAACCAGACTGTCCTGATGGGATCAGCTGTTGGTGCTCAGACCAAGGGATACTAAGAATGTTAAAAGGACCCTGGACTGTGCCAAGGACGAGGAGCATGTGGGACTCACCAGCACGAGGGCAGTGATGGACACACAGGGACTTGGGAGGGGACAGGGGGACACAGGACAAGGGGTGATACAGTGGCAGGAGCTGGGAGCCTCCAGTGACAGCAGTGTCATTTAACAGTTAGCCAGATACAAACTCCAGCTGGGAAAGCTACAGGTACAGACCTTCCTCAAGTGGAAATGTTCTGCTCCAGGCCTGAATTTGCTCCTTTATTTATCCACTGTAGCACTAATTCCCAAGGGAATTGCTCACAAACAGCAGGGAATGGTGTGCAACAGGAATGCAGCTTGTGCTTTGCAGAGATTCACAGTATGATTTAAATTCAGAGAATTGTGGAATCATTTAGTTTGGAAAAGCCCTCTAAGATCATCCAGTCCAACTGTTCCCCCAGCACTGCCAAGGCCACCACTAACCCCTGTCCCCAAGTGCCACATCTACATAGCTTTTAAATCCCCCCAGGGATGGGGACTGCACCACTGCCCTGGGCAGCTGTGCCAGGGCTGGACAGCCCTTTCCATGAAGCAGGTCCCTACCCTGTCCTCTCAGGACTATTCCTCACTTGTTTTGGCTCCCATCCTGCTCATGCCAACGCTGTGCAGCTCATGGCTGACCCCAGACCCAAACCAAACCCTGAGGCAGTGCAAAGGGACACGGGGCTTGCAGGTGTTTCTCTTCCTTTACCTTTGGCAGCGAGCGGCACTGTCGGAAGATCCTTGGCAAAGCCCAGGAGCTCTGGGAAGTGTTGGCTAAGGGATTTGGCAAGAATGTGCAGGAAGGTGGATTTCCCATCAACAGTCTTGGTCGTGTTCAGCTGCAGCAAAGCAGAAGCAGTGAGGAGGTGTCCCTGCACAGGGGTGGGTCTCCCCACACGCCCGGGGTGTCCCTCCCTCGGGGTCCCGGCTCACCCCGCTCACATGCACGGCAGTGCCCGGCCATGTCACGTGTTAATGGTTAAATGGCACATTTAATGTTCACACAGCAGCGTGGAGATGTTCCCTCCCACAGGGCAGGGCTGCCCCCCTGTCCCCCATCCCTCAGGGTTCCCACCACAACCCACGTGGGATGAAAACCTCCTTCTCTCACCCCACAGCTGTGGGCTCTGGTCAGCCTGAGGTTGGATTCCCCAACACACCAAAGCATCAAAGCCCCATAAGGGTCTCTCTGAAGTCACCCCTATGGGTCAATCCAGCTGCCTCCCCTGTCCCCCCTCTGGCAGCCACTGCACCCAGGGTCCTTTGGGAGGACAGGTTTGCTGCACGGGGCACTCAGAGCTCCCAGTGGCAGTGCCTCCTGCCCAGGAGGAGCCTGCCCTGCCTCACCTCGGTGAGGAAGTTGATTTTAAAGCCCGTTGTTTTGCTGGTCTTGGGCTGCCCATTGTTCAGGTAGTTTCCCATTGCCAGCACGAACTGCAAAGAGAAAACCAGGGAATGAGGAGCTGGGGACCTCCTGCACTTGTATCATCCCATTTCTCAGCTCCTGGGGCTCTGAATTCCTGTTCACACCCATTAATGTGCAGACAGCCACTGCCCCCCAAGGATTTAAGGAATTGTTGGGGGGTTACTGGCCAGGAGCCACTAAGGAGATTCATCTCTCCTCTGGAAATGCATTTGGTCACATGGTGACCTCATTTATCCCACCTGCTTTTTTTAAAGGCAAAACCAAATGAATTGCTTAATGACAGTAATTTGGGGCAGCTCGTCTCAGGAGGGTCAAGGACGAGCTACAGTGGGATATGTTCTCTCTCTGCCAGGCACAGCCTGTCCCAGGATGCCAAAATCACCTGTGGGGACCCTGCCCACACCACAGCAGGGCTGGGACAAGCCCTGGCCATCCCCAGGGACCTGCCTGAAGTGCTGCCCAAGTGTGGGGACACACACAGCGACTGCTGGGACAGACCCAAAACATCCTCCAGCCCCAAGACAGCCCAGGACAGCCTCAGTGGGCTCTGCTGTGGCCCTGCCTGGCACGTTTCTGGCTCCTGCAGCCCTCCCTGTGCTGGAGGTGGGTGTGTGGCCATCGGTGATCCTCCCTCCCACATCCTCCTGAGGCCAGGACCCCCACAAGCCAACACCAGGGGATAGACCCTGGCCCAGCTGGTCCTGGAGGGGCCCAAGGCTGGGGCTGCCCTGCAGCTGCCCAGGGGTGCTCCTGTGGGGTGCTGAGGGCCCATGGTGACTGTTTCAGGAAGGAAGGACTGCTCTGACCTCCAGGATTTTTGCCAGCTTCTTGCTGCTTTTCAGCTCTAGGGAGGCCTTGCAGATGCACTCGTAGCTGGCTTTGATCTCCTCTGTCTTCTCCTGCAGGGTGGTCTTGAAGTGCAGGCTGCGCAGGCGGATCTTGTACTCGGGTACTGACAGCATCTGGGAGCAAAAGGAGCAGAAAGGGACCGTCCCCATTAGCCACAATCCCTCCTACACGGTGCTTTTTCTGGCATGTTGCCCTGTACATGGAAGCAGGATGCACTTGCTTGGCACAGGTGACACGTGGAGCACCTGGGCCAGTTTCACACCCACATCCACGAGTGACTTTGGCAATAGAAAGTAAATCAGAGCTGGGCGAAGTCACTCTCACCAGGGAGCAAACGTGGGGGTAACTCTTCAGTTCCAAACCAGCCCCCACGGGAGCTGCCAGACCCCTCGGGCATCACCCCGAGCACCTCTGCCCCGCGGTCACAGTGACCAGTGCCACCAGCTCCTCCCGCCCCCCCGTGCCCGGTGTGCTGCTGACAGGGGACACGGCACACGCAGCCCCCCCGCTCCCGC